TCCCTCCTCGCTTTGTGCAAGTTCGAGGGTTGCTCTGTTCCCTTGTTTCAGGGTGGCTCTCACTGTTTTGGCTTCATCTGCTGCCTGTGGGGTCGGTGACACCTTTGGGCTGGAGTCCTGCGAGTTTTGTTGCTTGTTTGTGACTCGGTTACCCCAGTCTTATACTGAAAATGTGGGTGCAGGCAGCACGGGCGTTGCACGTTGAGTTTCGGTAGCAACGCGCTAGGTTGTTTGCTCCCCGGAAGCCCCGAGGCTGCCCCGTTTTGGTTGGTGGTCTTGTCGGGAAGCCCCCCCCCCCTTCCTCCCTGCATCCGGGTCCTTACTGTCTGTGGTTTGGGGTCGGGGGCGGGACTTCCATGGTTTTGAAACTAGGTTGGTCTCGGGGAATTCCCCTTCCGGGGTAGCGACAGGAGCATTCAAGCCTGTTCCACCGGCCGTGTTGTATGAGTCTGCTAGTGGGCTCCCTTCCTTTGTGCTTTTCACGGCTGCCCCGGTTTTTTTCTTGTGAGGCTGGGGCTTTGGGGGGACAGCTCGGCCCCGGGGTCTGCCATGTGGGTTCCCGGTGCTGACTTGCCGGGCCTCAGGCCCCGTTGGACCCCACCGGGGTTTTTTCTACCCTCTGGGCGGGGCTTGCAGTTGCGTGGAGTGTGGTTTTTCCTTCCCCTACTCTCCGCACGAGTTGTTGGGCGTCGGCCCCTCCCCGGGCTAGGTTCCTTGTCCCTTATGTCTGTTGGTTCCATCCTGTCGGTGGGTGCTCTTTTCTGTTATTCCCCTCTTTTTCTTGGGACGGGACTTCTCCGTCATATTCCCCTCTTCTTGGAGTTCTGCACGACTTTTGGTCTCGGGTGCGACTGGGCCTTTCTATGCCTTCGTCATTTGTGCTTGCTTCTGTGTTCTTGAAGATTCAGGATGATTTTTGCTCCTTCCTGTATTATTGGAACGTCTGTCATCTTTCGGTGAGGCTTCCCTCCGGTCCTTTCTAGGGCTTGTTGTTGGTCCTCTTCCATGCTTCCTCTTGGTTTTCGGCCCTGTCTCATTCTTTTGTTCATGTATCTTCTCTCCATGCTATGTCTTGGCACTGCTCGTTTTCCTTCCATATTCCTGGTCCGGGTTGCCAGGTTGGGCTACTGGTGGCCCGATTGGGTTCCAATTCGATTCATTATTTTTATTAAATGATCCGGCTATGTGTGTCGTTGCTTACTCCTTTTTGGCTTCTGTTCTCGTGCGTTGGGCTGTTTCTTCTCTTAAGTGAATCACTCGGGATACAAACTGTTGGGGTACTTTTCTTTAGTGTCCTGCGCATGCGCCGTGGGAGTTTTTTTTTTGGTTCGGGCGGTGTGCACCAGTGCTGGTGTTCTCCATCCATTTTCTTTAGAGTGCTTTGCCTCTGGCTCTTTTTATTCTCCAGTCCGTGGCCCGTTGCTCCTAGGGGTGTTCTGGAGTGCCGCTATGGGGAGGATGCCAGGTTTTCCCTGCGTTTTGGGTGGGGAGGCGCCTCCTTCGCCTCTCCCCTCCTCTTCTCCTGCATGAGTGGCTCTGCCCTGCTTCCGCAGGTGGTGCTCCCGGTTTTCTCTGCTGCGGGTGCACGATACCCTTACCGCCCCCGGCGGCACCAACCTTGTAAAGTTGTCATGACCCTTCTGTGCCTATGTTCTGCAGGTGAGTTTATGCGGTCTGGCGTCTCCTTCGTCCAGGCTCTGGTTCATTTTTTGAGGGTACAAATGGGAGTACATATGTACATGAAAACATAGAACATACAAACAGGGATGCCTGCAGCAGGCCTATTGGCCCATACGTGGCAGCTCTTGTTCCTAACCTCCGGATTCAAACATCAGAACACAGGTGACTGCAGGAGGTCTCTTGGCCCATATGAGGCGGCTCCTGACTATGCCCCTCCAGTCCCTCTCCTATGCATGTCCGCCCATGCTTGAATTTCGGGGCCCCACCTCCAACGTGTTCCAAGGTGCAAAGGTGGAGGTGCCTGATATGTGGTACATGTTCCTGTGTCGAGGGTGTTATGTGGTGACTTTTGCTGTGGTTTTGATACTGCGGTTGCGTGTTGGGGTATGGTTGTTGTGTTTTGTTTGGCCCTTCTGTGCTTCTTCCTGGGGCCTTCTTTGTTTGGGTTCTTTGTTCCCATGATTTTCTGGGTCCCTCATTCCTTGACGGTCTTGCTGAACCAGGCTTCGCTTTTCCATATACATTGGATTCTCTGTACTCCCCTAGTGGTCCTCACTTAGTTGTGCTTGCTGGGGATGAGCTTTGACTCTTGGTCCCGCCTCTCGCCTGTCATTCGACTTCTTTACAGGCTCTTGAGCCTTGTAGGTGCTCTTATCTGCACTTGATGCTGGGTGTGGGGTTGGCTTCTGCCACATCCCTTCCACATGCATTCTTATTGTCTCCTACTCTGACACTGGTATGCTTCTTCTTCTCTTTTCTACGGCTCATTTGGGCGTTCTATTCAACATGTTTCCCCTGTTACGTGTGCCCCATGTGGTCTTTGGTTTGTATTTCTCTATCCGGTCACATCCTCTGAGGATTTTGCTTGTGGTGGTCATGACCCCTCTGGATCTTCAGTCTCCCGATGACGTGTTGGTCCAGCGGTTTTTGGTATTGGTCCTGTCCCTTCATTCCCGTTTGCTGCCTACCTTCTTCGTTCCTCGGCTTCCTTTTGTCCTACACGTTGTGTGTTTTGTTTGTGTCTTGACTCTCTTATTGCCAGGTTTCAATTCTGATTCCTGGCTTTCCCGGCCTGTTGGCGTTTTCGGAGTCTCACGGTGTCCCTTCTCTGGAGTCAGTCAGGGTTTTGGTTTCCTACCTCCTGGCGGCTTGCTGGCGTTGGGATGTTTTTTGGTACAGCAGACATTCCATCTCCATGTTTGCCGGCTCGTTCGGCTCTGCCTCGAGTCTCGTCTTCTGTTTGTGGTCAGGTGGCTTCGTTGCTGGTGTCCCACCTGCATGTTTCTTCTTGGCGGCGGTGTGGGTCTTTTTGGCGGTCCTACCTTTTCCTTCTGTCCCTTTTTAGGTGGCTGTGTTCTGTTGGCATTGTCTTGTTCCTCTCTTGGGGGGGGGCATTATTTTGCCTCATACTGTTGCCTCGTTTCGCACGGCGCTGGCGAAGCCACTTCCACTTACTTTCGGTATTGATGTTACTTCAAAGCCGTTCTGCAAGCTGTCTCGTGCATTCTTTCACCTCCTGCCTGCTCATGAGCCGCCTATGCCGTCAGTCGGGGCGGTAGGTTTGTTCATCTGCAGCCATCTCCTCCTTATCTGGCAAAGAGCGAGACTGCTGCTTTCCAGAAGGGTCCTTGTGTTTTTGATGTATGGTTGGTTATGCCGGGGTTGCATCGTGTTTTGTGGCCCGTGGCGGTTCTCCACTGTTATTTGCGCGCCTCGGCTTCTGTGTCCGTGGACGCGTTTTGGGTTGCTCTGGTTTCCCGTCTTCCCTGTTCACGGGTGTGGGTTTCCCAGGTCGTCCGCAGGATTCTTACAGCTAGCCAGCCTGCGGTCTATCCCCGTGCTCGTACGTTCGTGGCTCTTGCTGCCGTCTTTGGCAACGTGACCTTGGTTGACATTCGGGCCCGGGGTTTTTTGGCGGTCGAACGGGGTCCTGGCTGCTCGTTATCTCATACACGTTCCTGGGCCTAGTCGGGCCTGTGTCGCCTTGGGTTGGCGGTTGCAGCCAGTTGTTTCGGTTTTGAGTTGCGGAGCGAGCAGCGACCACCTCCCGGATGAGTCCTTCTATTTTCCTCTGTGGGTAGTTAGCTCCGGGGAGCCGACAGGGCTCCCCCCAGAAAACCAGCGGTAAATGTAATGAAACGCCAATTTCTGGAGCCAGATTCACGAAAGCACTTATGCAAGCACTTACGAACGTGTACGTCTTTCCTCAACCTTTGACTGGTTTGGTTACATTTATTATACAGTTTACAAGCATGAAAACTTCCCATTCAACTGTTGTTATTGTTATAAACAGCCTCCTGATGCTTCGGAGCTCATTAACTGTTTAATAATTGGAAATAAAGCTGTCAAAGATTGATAAAAGATGTACAGGTTCGTAATCGTTTGCGTAAGTGCTTTCGTGAATCTGGCCCCTGGGTGTGACCCGGAGGCTCCCCGGCATCCCTCCCTCCCTCCCTCCTGGTCGGCGGTTTTCGCGTTTTCTTTACATCAAGCCTCAGAACTGGGGTGTGGATCGCCAGCGTGGGGGTATGGGGCTTCCCCTTCTCCGTCCCGGGAAGGTAGGGAGCTGCACAGATAGCGGCGCGGTGACGTGTGACGTCATGCTAGTTTGCTCGTTTCTTTTAGGGGAGTTCTATCCACTTGTTCGGCTTTTGGTAGCAATTTTAACCAGAATAGGGGTTTGTTTTGGGACGCTTACCTTTCTGGGTGTCCGACCCGGTCGATGGCAGACATAGAATGCTTCCAACCACACGGGGGTTTCTATAGGCCATTGCTCCCCTTGCCTCTCTGAGGGGGCCAGGTTCTGGCTCGAGGTCCCCGGTAGGCCCACAGAACTCCCTACACATGACTGATGCCAAAGTCTGACATTAGCATATCAGCCTGTATTGCTCTGAGGAGCCTCTGGGTCACACCCAGAAAATGGCGTTTCATTACATTAAATGCTTTTTTTTTTTTTTTTACATTTCTTTCCAGTTGGACGAATTCTTGTTCTAAACTGACTTCCCAATTCCTAATCCTTTTCTACCAAGCCCTCTTTCTACCTATAACGTTCTAAAGATCCTTTGTTATCCATTTTGGTTTAATATTATTCGATCTATTATAATTGAATAATAATATAATAGATTTTTGTAGCTCCATAGTGGCTGCTTAAAAAGAAAAAAGAAATGTATGGCCTGAGGACAAGGAAGGGTATACCATGCTCTCTTGTAATGTATTTGAGGCATACCTACTTTGAATATATATTTAACATTAGATTTATATATTTATAATTAATGACATTTGTTTGAGGTTGTAGTTATTTTAATACAATTGTCTTTCAGACATCATGTGCCCATCAACTTCATGTTACTGGCGGCATTTACTGTGATTGAGGCCATCACTGTGGGAGTCGCAGTGAGTATGTACGATGCAGAAGTGGTTGTGAAGGCATTCTCTCTGACCTTGATCATCACAGGTGGTCTTACTGCTTACACTTTCCAAACTAAGAGAGACTTCACAAACATGGGAGCTGGGTGAGTCATTACCTGTTACCCCAATACTTGTATGTATATCTTTTAAAAATAATCGTTAATATCTATAGATGTGATTCTTAAATATATATTAACAGTGGAATTTCAATTCGGTGAACATGGATTTGGGGAATCTCTGGCTGGAATGCACACTTGCCAGGTCGGATTTATTCGCCCAATTCAACGAACAAGGGTTTGCTGAAGCTGGAGATGTGCAGATTTGCTTAAGATGTTGGGCAGAGTTCGCAGACTTGGAAATATTGCCCATCATATCATAGGTTAAAATGAAAGATTTCCTTTGTGAAATGAGCCCATAGAGCATGGGAAATTTAAGGATATGAATGATAACTCTAATATAGTGTAAAAAATAAATTAGAAATGTGAGAAGAAAATATTGAAAAATTTATGAATCAACTCTAGGGGAAAAAATCGACAGGTTCATTACGTAAATGTGACCGTATTTTGTTTATGCTCACCAATAAGTGAAGTAATTACCTAAGTGTAGTTACAGGATGAGAGCTACGGTCGTGGTGTCCCGTCTTCCCAGCACTCTTTGTCATATAACGCTTTGAAACTACTGACAGTCTTGGCCTCCACCACCACCTCACCTCGCTTGTTCCAACCGTCTACCACTCTGTTTGCGAAAGTGAATTTTCTTATATTTCTTCGGCATCTGTGTTTAGCTAGTTTAAATCTATGACCTCTTGTTCATAAAGTTCCAGGTCTCAGGAAATCTTCCCTATCAATTTTATCAATTCCTGTTACTATTTTGTATGTATTGATCATATCACCTCTTTTTCTTCTGTCTTTTAGTTTTGGCATATTTAATGCCTCTAACCTCTCCTCGTAGCTCTTACCCTTCAGTTCTGGGAGCCACTTAGTAGCATATCTTTGCACCTTTTCCAGTTTGTTGATGTGCTTCTTAAGATATGGGCACCACACAACTGCTGCATATTCTAGCTTTGGCCTAACAAAAGTCGTGAACAATTTCTTTAGTATATCGCCATCCATGTATTTAAAAGCCATTCTGAAGTTAGAAAGCGTGGCATAGGCTCCTCGCACAATATTCTTTATGTGGTCCTCAGGTGATAGTTTTCTATCTAGAACACCCCTAGATCTCTTTCTTTATCAGAATTCTTTAACACTTTTGCCCGGGCATGACGCAGCATTGCGTCATCCATTTACTGTCAGTAATGGCGGGGATGACGCAGCATTGCGTCATCCACTTTCAATAATCGCCAAAAATCAGGTTTTTATCCAATTTTTTGGGGACTGGTTTTAAAATGCGCGCCAATGTCTTCCCATTTTCTTTGTTGAGCCTCATGGCCCTCAGGCGGCTTGGCATACGCCATGGGCCCATTGTTTTCGCTCCACTGTTGTGACCAATGTCGCCTCCCCTCGCATCTCAAACGTGTGAACATTTCGGCTATTTTCCGTGGCTATATTTCTTACTGCGGCTTTAGAAACTATCTACACTTACTCCACGATGGATAATGATCATGAACAAGGCCCTTCCAGGAAGAAAATTGCGAAAGAAAGGCTTGAAAAGGGCGGGAATTGGGAGTGTAGCTGGAAGGCTTCTGAGCGCTCACTCGCGGCTAACGCGTGGCCCGTCTTCAACTCGTCGGCGGTTGGAGCGTGACCAGGTTTTTTATTTTATATGCTAATGTTCCTCTAGAGAATTCTATTGCGAACCCATTGAGACTAAAATGAAAGACCTAGGACAAAAATTGAGGTGACCAGAGTGAAAATAGTGAAAACATTTTATCGCATTTGCGCGCTCCTGGGTAACTCGTTCGCACTTTCTCTGTTTGCTGCGGGTAATTAGCTGGGCTTTTGGAGTTTATATGCATTTAGTGCTGTAGAGAATTCTATTGCGAACACAATGATACCAAATTTAATCTCGTAGGACGAGAATTAAGGTGACAAAGTTGAAGAGAGTATACACTTTTCAGAATTTACGCGCGCTCCCGTGACACCCTGGGTCCCATATCGCACAGTTGAGGGGTGGTGCGCGGGGTACGCCAAAGTGTTAAAGATTTTTCACATAATATATAGGTTGTGTGGGGTCTATGTTCTCCTATTCCACATTCCATAACAAGGCATTTATTAACATTAAATTCTATTTACCAAGTGGTGCTCCATATACTTATTTTGTCCAGGTCATCTTGAAGGGCATAACAATCATCTAAGTTTCTTATCTTTCCTATTATCTTAGCATCATCAGCAAACATGTTCATATAATTCTGTATACCAACTGGTAGATCATTTATGTACACAATAAACATCACTGGTGCAAGAACTGAACCCTGTGGTACTCCACTTGGGGCATTTCTCCAGTCCGATACATTGCCTCTGATCACAGCCCTCATTTTTCTATCAGTCAGAAAATTTTTCATCCATGTTAGAAGCTTACCTGTCACCCCTCCAATATTTTCCAGTTTCCAGAACAACCTCTTATGTGGAACTCTGTCGAAAGCCTTTTTTAGGTCCAGATAGATGCAGTCAACCCAACCATCTCTTTCCTGTAATATCTCTGTTATTCGATCATAGAAACTGAGTAAATTCGATACACAGGATCTTCCAGATCGAAAACCATACTGTCTGTCTGATATTATATCATTTCTCTCCAAGTGTTCTACCCATTTAGTTTGAATTATTTTTTCCAATATTTTGACTATTACACTTATCAATGATACCGGTCTATAATTAAGGCGGTGACGGTGGTCCAGGTTTACCTGGGGGGTGATTTTGAGCATCTTATTGAATGTGTCTTCACTCTTTTGCGGGATGTTGGCGCGGTGCAACTCCATGTGCAGGTTCCTTCCCTGTCAGCTTAGGACTTGCATGCTCGTTGCTTTTTTACTTCGGTCCTGCATTTCTTTTCCCTCCTGGAACTGTCTTCAGATTGGCTTGCGGAGGATGTAAAGGCAGGCGCTTGGGGCTGTTCCGGGGTCTGGCGCCTTGGTCTCAGCTGTTCGAGCATCGTCTGACATGTTGAAGCTGTTTGCGCTGATCCTGTGTGGGGCGTTGCTGCGTTTTTTCGCTGCACGTTTTGTGTGTCAACAGGCGGTCCTTGCTTCCTCCTTGGAATCCGCTTGGGCCCTGGATCTTGGGTTGTCTTCTCCCTTTTGTCCTCTACTTTATTAGGCTTCTGCGGTTCAGCGTTATATTCAGGCGGCTTCTACTACTTGCCGCCCTATGTCTGAGTTGTTGATGCTCCAGGGAAACCAAGGGGTTCCTTCCCGGTGGGGTCGTGCCAGGGCTCACGGTTCCTTTCGTCTGGGTAGGCCACAGGTGTCGGGTTCGGCGCCAGTGCCGCATGCGGTCCCACCTGTGCCTGGTCGGCGTGGTGTTCGCTGTGCATGCAGGTTGGGTTCTCGTAAGGGGCGGCGGCACTTTCACGGTTCGCCCCATTGACGGGGCAATGGGGGGGAGGCTTGCTCTGTATTCTCATGCCTGGTCTCATGATTTGTGGGCGTTTCAGGTCGTTTCTCGCAACCTGCAGTAGCGTTGGGTGGCTCCTCCTCCTTCGGGGCTGATGGGGCAGGCTTCCTCTCCTGCACTCTGTTGGGTCATCTTGGAGTGGGTGTGCTTGGGCGTGGTCGAATCGACGACGTCCCTCAGATGGGTTTCCTGCCTGTTTCTAGTTCCGAAATGGGACTGTGCGGACCTGCGGTTCATTCTGAACTTGTCCCTTCTGAACCCTTGGGTTTCTTGCCCCTCGTTTCAGATGACCACTCTGTCCCAGGTCCAACTTCTGTTGGAGTCAGGCGCTTGGATGGTGTCCCTGGACATCAAGGACGCGTATTGGCAGGTCCCTATTCATTTGGGGTTCAGGGACTGGCTTGGTTTTGTTGTGGGGCATCAGTGCTACCGCTTTCGTTGTCTCCCTTTCGGGTTGAATCTGGCGCCTCACGTGTTCACACGCCTTAGCTGGGTCGTGGTGACCCGTCAGCGTCTGTTAGGTGTTTGGGAGTTGGCTTACCTCGATGACTGGCTGGTTTGGGCTCCCAGTCGGTCCTCGTGTCTGCTCGCCAGGGATTTGGTACTTTCCCAGCTTGCCGGGTTCGGGTTCCTGGTGAACTGGCGGAAGTCCCGTCTGGCTCTCTCCCAGGTTCGGTCCTGGCTGGGTTTTGTGTGGGACTTTAGGACCGCTTTCTTGTCTCTTCTTCTGGAGTCTCTCCTTCAGCTGCGGTCTCGCCTGTGTCTGTTTCTGAGGGGCTCCCGGGTCACCCGGAGGTTGCTCGACGGTTTGTGCGGCAGCCTGAACTTCACGATGTTGGTCTACCCGCCGGATCAGGTTTGGCTTAGTCGACTGTTCTGGTTCCTTCTGGGACGTCCCTTCTGCCTCTCTCGTGATCGCTGTGTTCGATCAGATTTGAACAGTGTTAGCGGCTTCTATGGTGGTGTTTTCCATAGATATTTTCAATTATAGCTGAATCTTTTCTTGACTGACAGACACTGTTTGAGGCTGGCTGAATCTCTTCCTGTGTGGGACCTTACAAAGTGATCAATCTTTTCAAGACTACCTTATGTTTTACAAGCATGGCTACATACCACCTACAGGTACTAATGCCAAGGGTGTACGTGAGTGCGTTATTTGCAAGCACACAGAACGAAGAAACAGGAAGCGAAAATCTATCTGTACCTGGTGCAACGAGATCGAAGTTGTACTGTGTACCATGGACTACTTCGTTGATTATTACTCACCTCCGAAATACTGAGTGTGTAATACAGTGTGTTACTGTGTAAATAGTGTGTGAAACTGTACATATTGTAATTTTAGTCAATTTTTAACAAGTATTATTGCGACAATAAACATTCATTGTGGACACATTACTGACACATGTATCAGTTCCATGGAACATTATGAATGTTCTACTGTATGCATATTGTAAAAGACACAAATATGCATCATATACGATAAAAAAAATAAATAAAACCGCATTGGAAATACATAGAACAAATAATTGAAAATATATTTGTGGCTACATCCGGTG